TCAGCCAGAGTGCAAAGAAGTTCTGATAAAAATGTCGTATTGTTTGTTTCTCAATTAAGAAGTTCAACTTAAGCTGTGCATGAATTTCCATCCGCGACAGAAATAGCTGAGAAGAGCTTTATTAGGATTTTTGACTGTATTAAAGTACAATATATGTGAGCACAGCCACGAGGAGACAAGAAAACAGATGTGAAGTGTTCAGAGCAGTAGCCATGTGTTTCTCTTCAGTGATCCTACATCAAGCTGCTGTGGACTGCCGCCGAAAATGTGCAAAGTGTGCAACCCACATTATGCACTGTGACCGTCTGTGGTACCTTCATACATCTGAAGTTGTAGCTGACAGATGACTTGAGCCAATAACGATTAACATCATGATGCAATAATTACGTAGTGATACTTAAAAAATTATTTAAATGAATTAAAGTGGGAAAAAAACAAATAAACAAACATGCGTCAACCAAACATCGATGCCTTTTCAGTATTTACATCATATATTTTTTGCGAATTAGTCGCAGAAAATCGAGTTGTTTGGTATAAAAAATGTTGATCAGTGCCCAGGATCAGGTTGTACTATGTCATTTTGTCCACAACCCAAAGATAAAGGAGTCGTAAAGGAGTACAGAAACCGAAAAATATTTACATTTAAGAAGTTGGAATCAGGGAATCTTGAGTCGATGAATCAACATTCAATGTAAAGATTGTCGTATCTGTTGCAATTAATTTAGTAGATTTAGTAAAATAGTAAATTTCTCATCTTCTTTTTTTCAAAAGGCAAGAACAAACCTTTAAAGCAATCCTGGAACGAATAAGGTTGTATTGTTTTGGTAGAACTGTAGTTATTGGCTTTACTGAGTTTTTTTATGTCAGATCTAAACACAAGGCAAATATAAAAGATATCATAACATGCATTGATGAATATGGTACAGAGCCCCCCCCCCCTCCTCTGCATTCAAAACAGCGCGCTCTCTGCGGCTCAGTTTTATAGTTACCAATTACTTTGGGACAGAGGACACAACACCACAACTCAAGCTGACAGGCAATTTTGAGGGCAGGAATCCTTAAAAAATTTGAATACCTCAACCCAATGTAAAGTTTGTAATAACAAAATACCCACCTTGGAAAACATTTACACAGGATTTATGCAGGTCCGCAGACGCTCACACAGCGTGGCATTGAGCCGATATGAGCCCGTGTGTGTTAACTATCAATCACTCGCACAGAGAAAGTATTCATGTGACAACTGACTTAAACACCAAAGTAAACACCCGGTTAAAACGGCCGCGAGGCACGGTGAATGGTCCCGACTGTGCGTGTGCCTGTGCGAGTAGGTGTGCGAGTGTATGCAGCGTGATGTGTGGGTGGCTGGCTGGCTGGCACTCGCTCTGGAGATGAAGCTGCCAAAAAGCCTGCTGTCTGGACTCGGTTTACAGTGGAGTATCCCTCCTTCTGCCCTGCCGCCACACTTCTCCACCCCAAGTCTCTGTGTGTCAGAGGCATTGTGGTTTAAGGAGGTGGCACGCTGCCTATCAGAGATAGAGGAGGAGGGCAGACGGGGACGGGATGGGCTCTGCTGGCAGAAGAATCTGTCCCCAGAACTGACGCACACTCTCACACACACTTAGATATGAAAAAAAAACCCAAAAAAACGCACACATTCACACACTATCTCGCTCACTCATCCTCTGGCCTGCGACATGTGTGTGCTAATTAGGTCTTGGCATGGTCCGATGTGTGTGTGTGCGTGCGTCTTCAACAGTCAGTGTTGCATTGCGGACACCCATGAGTGTTTATTAAGTCTTGGGGCCAGACACTTAAATGAAAGACCAATCTGGCTCGGTGCTTTGGTTCAGAGAAGTCAGGGGGAGGAGAGGGGAGGAGGGGGGAGGCAGGACAGTTGAATGGAAGGATGGTGTGATAGAGAGACAGCTAGAAGAAAAAAAATGCAAAGAAAATTGGAAGGAAACCAAGAAAGAAATGCACAGATTGTAATCTGAGCGAGAATGGAAAATGGGATTTGAGAGAATGAGTCAGAGAGGTTGTTTTTTTTTATTATTATTCTTTGAGGGGAGACGAGGGCTGCAGGGAGGAATGCAGAAGGAGAAGGGGGCTAGGATGTAGCTGATTGCTGTATTTAATTTCTTCTGCCTTTGGAGGAACTGTCTCACTCACGCACACTTACACACATAAGCATGCAGAGTCATGCACAGTTTTACAATTGAGTTTGTGTTTAATTAAAAGCCTGAACAATTTTGTCCAGTTTAATTAATTACAAACCTAAAAGAGAACACAGAGTCACATGTTAAATTCATGTTGTGTTATCGTCTCAGCGGCGCGATATATACAGTCAGGATGAACAGACGCACATAATCTGTCCTCATGCATGCCTCTTTGTGTGTGTGTGTGTGCGTCCTGCGACAGCGCAACTCTTACGACAAGATTGTATAACCACCCTCCAGCTAGTCACATCGAATAAGGACATTTTATTATTTTTCGAAGGGAATTCCGAATGAATTGCGGGCCTCTAATCTCTGTTGCCTCACTTCTTATTGGCACATTTCATTTTTTTCCCCTCTGTGTTGCCATTCGATAGCAAAGTTCCATGTGAAGATTTAATGGGAAATGAAGCCAGAGACCTCCCAATTTGGAACAAATGAAAGCATGAAGCAAATCGCAGTCGCCATCAGCCTGTGTCATCACAAGTAATTTCACATGTAAACAGCACATATAAATGGGATATGTAAATGAGGGAAGATACCACACGAACAAATACTTTTAACTCAACAAACGCTCAGATGTTAATATGCTATCTTAATTGGTCTAACCGCATTCTCATACACCCGCCTACTGAGCTCCTTTTGACTTTGAATGGTAAGTTGGCGGATTTAGATTCCCTTGAACCTCCCAGGCTCTCTCCTCAATCAGACAAGTGGAAGCATGGTTTCACTGTCTATTAATCAGCATGTGCCGGGTAAAAACAGATGTGATAAAATGGGCGGGTCAGTGCAGTTAATGAGCTTAACAGCTATAAATTGCATTATAGACCTTGGTGAGGATGCACAATCCATCCCCACTGAGGAATAAGTGACAGAGAACAAGAGGAAGGTTTGGTTAAAGCCTCTATTTCAGGCAGTGAGATGCAGTTGAAAGCGCACTCACATACATGCACACAAAAGGCAACATACACTCGCACAAACAGCGAGTGTCAGTGTTGGGGTTGAGGCTCTGGCTCTTGTGGATGTTCTCCTGGGAAATCACACTGAATAAAATTAGACCTGAGGAATTCTGCCTGTGTGAGAGTGTGTTTGTTGGAGTGTCGTCAAACAACCCCACATTTTTTATTTTTTTATTTTTTTTGTGGCTCAGGACTTCTCTTCTCTTCTCTTCTCTTCTCTTCTCTTCTCTTCTCTTCTCTTCTCTTCTCTTCTCTTCTCTTCTCTATCGATAGTTTCCATCTTCGCTCATTCAGACACTTCCATGTAAAGGACTATGGGGCATCAGCGCAGCCATGTCTAAGCTATGGATGCTGATAATCACATTGGTTGTGCTCCATTTGGTTGTGCCAGCATGCTGCTTATTACATAGCAGCAAGGGCGGAGTAATGATGCCAAATGTCTTATCGTTTGATAGCGTAGCAGCAACATGTAGCTAGGATGCCTTTGTAAATGAAACTAATTTAATCTCTTCCAGCTTTAAAGTGTTGGCAAAGACATTGAAATACTTTCTCAATTTGGACCTGGATGCTCTAAGCTGTGTAAATATTTGTGTTTATTAGTCGGCATTGTTTACAGTGCTGTCGGTACAGCATTGTGCTATAGTATCGATTCAGGTTGTCATAAGCGGCATGTGTGGTTGTGTGTGCCAGTTGGCACTGCTCCGACTGGGTTTTGGGGCACATCCGTTGCTGGCAATCCGGTGCTGTTAAACAATACAGAAGCTCGCACACATGCGGATGTTGTTTCATAAGAATAATGTCTTTTCACATGTAAACGCGCAACTTTTCCGCATAAAAAATGTATTTAAACATCCAGTATTCACAGTCGTAGCTTCTTCTTTTCTTCTATTATTTTTTATTTATATAGCCCTAAAAGTTTGTCTCACAGGGCTTTGCAATATGAATACGGCGTGCAGTATGTGTGTTGTAGAGGCCACAGCAACAGACTGAGTCTATAAGAATAAAAGACAGTTATCTCACTTTAATATGCTTTATTCTCCCTTTGGTCATATTGATTTTATTTCAGTGTCAGCTCTCCGGTTAGAATACTGGGGGGATTTCCATCCACTGACATGCTCAAAACAGAAGTAGCATCACTGAAAACATAATCCTGCGCTTCCTGCCTGGCGGCATCTGTTGCCAGACAGACAAGTTCAAACACATGAAAATCTGAGCGCTACGCATATATTTTTTACCCTCCTCCACTCCCTCCCGCTCTCCCACACCATCTCCCTCCAAAGTCAACTCTTCCTATTATGCTCCCCTGAAAAGCAACAGCAACACAAAATCTGTTTGTAAGTGAGCGTTTCTTATCTCTGTGTGCTCTAGTGAGAACAGTTTTAGATTTTGTGGGTTTGCGGCTGTGCGTGCTTGTGTAGCAGTCTACTGCGTGTTTGTGCCGTATTGATTGCTGCTGGTATGTGGGGAAATGAGGATGAATCAGTATAAAGAAGGAAGAACAGAAGACAATGCACAAACAACGAGAATGGCCAAAAGAATGAAAGATACACAAAATGAGCCACATATCAATCTGAGACAGGAGAAGAGATTTATTTAAGCTGTCTGAATCCTCTTTTCTTTCTGATGCTTGTATTCAATGTTTCCTCCCCCCCTTATGAATTCTAAATGATCCATGTACCAAATACTCGTCTCTTGACAAGAGTCTTAGTTTGAGCGGTGTTCTTGTCTGAGCTGGAGCGATGCTAGTAGAAGACATGTTCTGCTTTGAGATGTTATTATTGTGTTTTCTAAGCCCCTGTTGTCTTTGTGTCTTACTCTTGCCCTACAGAGCGATCACCATGGACAATCAGCTGGTTGTCTTGGCAACCACTGCAACGGATGCTGGACGTTACCATGTAGAAGCCGTGAACGAGATGACTGGAGAGAATGTGACGAGTCCCGCTGTCTACCTGAGCATCTCAGGTAAAAAAACAAAACAAAACAAAACAAAACAGTTTGACTGATTTGGTACCAGAGCAAACAACCCTGCTGATTAACAGCGTGTGCAACGTCAGAGTCAGTTTACTCCACAATGAAACCAAGCAGCATTATCAATCCCCCAAAGAAGAGGATTTCTATTACTCAGTAATTGCTGCTTGATCATTATCGGATTTTGTTTTAGCCCTTTTTTGGCCTTTGATGAGCTTGATTAGATTCTCTGTCTTATAACTAGAGTTGAGGCTCAGTATCAGTTTGATAGAGGTTTTGATTGAATCCACTTTACAAGAAAATACCAACTATTCAGTTAAAATGTGTGCTTTTAGTTTGGCCCAGTATGCAGCCCAGTGGTAGCCTAATTACTGTTGACAACCTGCACTCTGGATACAACTGAGAAATGAGATGAGCAGCAGAAGATATGAACTATTGAATAACAACAACTTACATATGCACACATCATTATTAGCAAATTAAAGTCCCTCTCCGCTGGTTGATTTCACCCCTAAAAACTCATCTACATGTAAGTCTTAAGATAAAATAATCCCTTCCTGCTTTAAAATGGCTTCGATGCGATGCTTCTTCTACTGTGTGCATGTCTATGAAGTCTCCACCTCTTTCTCCACCTTCTGCAACACTGCTCGCTGTCGCTGGAGCACACCAGCTCTCCTACAACCATGCAAAATGCTGCAAAGCGACGCTACACAAGAGCAAATTGCAATGTTAGAGTAATTCAGCCACACATGTTAAATTAAACCGGAAAACAATTTTGAAAGGAAAAACAAAAAGGATACAGAAAGTTTCACCGTGCAAGTTGACAGGATTGGTTCTTTAGGTCTGTTACACATGAAAGTGGAAGTCTGACTTTATGTTTTTGAGACTCATCGACACACTGCAGCTTCAAGATGGAAATGCTCAGCCACAGTGTTGACATCTTACTATTCATGACATGTCTTCTAGCATGTAAAAAAACACCAATTGGAAATGCTAAGAGGAAAAAAAAAAGTTGATTTTACCAGAGTGTGTCTTTAAAATACAGAAAATCTCATATTTTAGAATGATTATTATTTTCTTGAATTATTGATTTGACAAATAAGAATTCAACTTGAAAATTCTAATCACTGAAATTACCATCAATTTGAGAATTCCCACTCAGACGGTCTGTACCAATCCACTTCAGCTGCTCACCATCATACAGTGACATTAGGCAGACTTAAATGTTGAGATTCCTTTACATCACAAACAATTTTTTGCTGAGAACACAAACAGGCTAACTCCACAACAGACAACTCTTATTTTAGCCTTTGGTTTGTCGTTTGAACTTACAAAAGCAACAACTGGCATCGATAGGATGTGTGAAGTGAGATAAAGAGATTAGATTAAAGATAGACTTGAAGCTTAGCAAATTTGGCAGGTTTCCAACCTGGAACTGGATCCAAAATTAAACCAGCTGTCAGAAGCCAACCTGAAGTTGGAGACCTATTTTAAACAAGATGCTGTGATCCACTCTGGGTCAGATTCTTTGTCTCCAGATTGAGTCACGTACAGCCTGTAGACTACACACATCCATGCCTCTCTATCCATGATCTCACCCCCACTAAATGTTCATTTTTCCTCCTTTATGGCCTTTTTATAAACAGTTGAAGCAGCTGGTTGCTGTCCACATCTGTTCTGCTATAGCTTGACAGTTGGTTTAGGATTGTTGGCTGGTCTGCTGCAAGAACTCCAGTTGTTACTGACCAGCGGTTGAGTGTGTTGTGTTGTGTATTGACTGAGTTGTGAGGTTTTTGCTCCTTTCTGGCTGTCAAAGACTAAAAAAATGTGTGCGAGTTGGCAGAGACAATCTTTATTAGGGGTTATTTATGGGTTGTCAAGTCTTCAGTTTGTCTGCTCGTTTGTCCCAATCTTTAGTTATCGCTACCGATTGTTTGCAAGTCTAACAGCCACAGTCCTTTAAAAATGCAATTAGTAAGTAACTATCCATACCCAGGCCAGTGTGCTGCTCCCTGTTGTGAATGACAAGCAGCCCTTTCTCATTCTGGGGGAAATAAGCTTCAGTCACAAGCGCTGCAAAGTTTGATGTTTGAATTTTAGACTCTCTCTGTCATGGCTGTTATCACTGAATCACTTTATTGCTGTATGCTTCTCTCTATATCTCTTCTCCTTGGAGGCCAGAGGATTGACTCTACTGTCTAACAGTCCTTCAGTTGAAGTGTTCACTACGGTTAAATGAGAGTGAGAGGGAGGGAGCGAGCGCTCTGTCCCTTGTGGCTGTATAGAGTTTTAATTAGATTCTCTTTACAGGGTTGTATCCTTTGGCATCCTTTGTCTGGAATGCGCACCTACGGACACACACACACAATCACATAAATATAGGCACAGTACCTTGTTACAGCTGTCAGTGGGAAGTGCTCCCCTGGGCATTTTTAGGAATGGTAAGGGTATAGTTAGGCTTCACTGATCAGTCTGCGGCCATAAACATCTGCGTGCACACGTGTGTGTGTTTGTTTCTTTTTATAAGTGTGTGTTTTCTACAATAAACATTTCCTGGGTAAACATCCTTTGCTATATAAAGGCATATTTGATTCAGTTCTTTGTTACTGAGACCGAGGATAAATATAAAAACATGGAATTACAGAAAAACCGGCTGACAAATCAAAGAGCAAAAATAATGCAAAGATGGGCAAGCTGTTAAGAAAATACATTAAAAACAAAAAGACGAGCCCATTGGTTGATCAGTTGGTTTTTATGAATCACTGCTGCAGATGTGTTTGAAGCATATTAGATGTATGAGCATGTAGGTCACAACTGTATAGAAATGGTACTGATTATTACCAGCTGAAGGAGAAGAGCAGGTCACTGGGACTACAAGCAGCTCTGTGGAGTTAAACAAAGAGCATTGTGGGGGTTTAGCTAGCAATAGGCCACTATGACAATATGTGACACTTAACGGCTTCCGACCAGAGCTCATATGTTAAGGACAGACTGGGATTGACTAAGAGAGAGTTCCTATATCTCAGTGGCATATGTAGCAGAGCCCCCTTTGTGGCCCAAATCATGATCTGTCAACTAAAGCAGCAATATCAGCAGTGTACAAATAGCTACACAATGCGATGATCAGGCTTGTGTTCGTGCTGATACTGATCATTTAAGAAATGCTTTAATTGGCCCAGATCCCAATCTTTAGGAATGCATCGGGACATCCCTGGTGTATTTCTGTGCATGCAGTTACACATTGATCGCACATAGTGTATACACAGAGAAGCAGACTGGACCTATTGATGAAAGAGATCGGGCAAAGTATACTCACAGGGAATTTGAGAAGCACAAGAATCCGTTATGGCCAAATGAGATTAAATTAAAGTGAACTGAAGTGATGAGCAGTTCACCAGGTTAACTGGCACAAGAAAACACGTGAAGAAACTTATGCAAATTGTGTTTTTGTTCATCTGTGCCACCTCTTTCTTTTTTTTTTTTTCTTTTACATTTCCTGTCCTATCTGTTCCCTCCATTTCCTGTCTACCCTCTTTTCTCTTTTCCATTCCATTAAGCAGCCTGTACAGGATCTGAAGGCAGAAGTTCATAGCTGTCAGTCAAATTTCTAAAAATGTTGTCTTTCTTTTCATAAATTCACCAGAATAAATGAGATACCTATTTTCTATTCTCCTGTTTCTTACTTTGATTTAAGCATTGTGCTCAACAGACAAGAACTGGCGAGAGAGAGGATTGGTAGAGACAGAGACAGAAAGAATTAATGAAGTGAGTCATGGGTGTAGACTCAGGATATGGCCGACAACCTGTTCGTGTCAGGATTGTTGTAGATGAAAGCTCTTCGTGTGTGTCGCGCAGTCACACAGAACCACGGGCATTAACAGGTAAGAGAGTGTCACATTTGCGTACGTTCAAGCTGTTTCACCATCGACAGTCAACAAAACCTTTTGGCTAATCCGTAAAGCCAAAAAAGAGCTGGGAGAAGTGGTCGACAGCCAGCTGTATGACCTACCTGCTTGACAGATCCATTATCTGCATGTCCCTGACCACTACCCTGTAAGTGTGGCCTAGACTGCGGAAAATAAAAGCACTAACTGTCATCCATGGTCGAGCTGGAACAGCCACAATTGATAGCAGCTCAACAGCTTGGTGAGAGGTCACACGTTGTAATCACTGGAAGTACAGCCTGCCTCTAAAATAAACAGCTCCTGGAGCTTTTTATCACCACCAACAACATATGCTGTTACAGAAGACATTTTCTGTCCGTTATCGGTACGGTGCGAACATGACGGATTGACAGAGGCTGAATTTCAAAAAGGGAACATGTATCTTTCGAGGTGTTCGAATATACAGTCAATACAGCAAATCACGTCTTTGCAGCCACTTCAGGGAGGGAGGGTCACAGTCAAGGTGCAGCTCTGGTTTATTAGTTATTGTATACAAGGATGTGATTCACTGTGGACGTGTGTGTGTGTGTGTGCGTCTGTGTGTGTTTGCATTCAAGAGAAAGACAGTTCTAATGGCCTTAGGGTACTTCTGTTAGTGACAGGAGATGAGGATCCCTACTCCAATTAATTGAGCTCCATGCATACCTGCAATCATCGCTCTCTCTCCCCTCTGTCTTAAACACACACTCATATACACTTTGCACACAACCATACACCCACACACACACCTCAGCCTGTCAATCAAAACAGCAGTCAGTCTCCCTGTTGCCCAGAAGAGAGTGTGTGTCTGTCTGTGTGCTGCTGTTCATTTCACAGCAGTGGAGGTCTTTGTAGATTTGTACATCAGACCATTAGAGCAGCAAAATATCCCCAAAGAGAGCACTCACCGCAGGGAGACTCACACTCGCACATTAAAGCACACAGACATGTAAACATACACACGCCCAGAAACGCTCAGCATAACTGGACATCATCAAACGCATGCCCTTTACAGAATAAAATAACAAGACAAAATAGCTGACACCCCGAGATAGAGAAGTTTTGATCCCA